CCAAGGTGGCACATGGCAGTACATGATGCTGGGAGTGATTAGTTTTTTATACAAGTGTTGGCTGGGGGATCATGTGAGTGGACAAGTCCCTGCAGGTCAAATCAGTATTCAGGTAGTGACAGAAGTGAACGGTTGGCGTTGGTTTCGTTCTGCTCATAGTTTTTCTTGTGTTGTTTGTTAGCGAACATTGAATTGCTTTTTAATTTTTTGAACAGGTTTCTTAAAATGCTTGCCTTTATTTCAGTCTCCCTCTCTTATAATGTGTTAGTAAAACAAAATGAATACCAAGTTAATACAAATTTATTATTATTATTTTAATGTCATAAACAGAATTGGTGCCTTACTCAACAAGGGGGTACAATACAGTACAGGTTGTACCTCTCTAGTCCGGGACCTGACCGGTGCCGGACCATGGAAATTCAACCTTTTCCTGGATAAATGGTGACTTGTGCTTACACTCGAGCACCACTTTCTCTGCTTCGTGGTCTCTTTGAAGACATATTGAAGGGTTAAATGTCATACAGTAGCTTCTCAAATTTCGCGAGTTTTTAATTCACCGTTTTTTATTTGGACACAAAAAAACACTACATAATTTAAAATTTGGACGGCGGAAACTAGAATTTCGACGGGTTTGAACGGCTCGCCAACGTTCAGACGTCCACAATCGTGTAAACAGCGTCATTTCTCTTATGTATAAAAGATTCATTATTGTTTATTACTGAATGTCTTTTTTATTGAATTAATGTTTGTGTGCAAAATGAGCAATACAATTCATTAATAATACGTAGAATATTAAAACACGTGAGGAAATGAGACAGCATTGTTTTAGTTGATAATCAAACCAGTGACTGAGTGGTTCTACATACCTGTATAAAACAAGAAAATATGACCCTGGTTGTAGCTGTAGGGTTTTGAGGGTTTCTTAGCATCCCGGGATTCTCTTGTCCTCACTGTACTGACTTTCACAACTCTCTCTCTCTCTCTCTCTCTCTCTCTGCTTGTCTGTACAGAGTACATTTAACCCTTCAATATATATGAGCGGTAAATAAGTGTTGCTTTCATATTCTTGTGTAGAGTAATGACGATATGTTTTCACATGTGCGCACTTACATACGCGCAGTCTCACCTTTTTTCCGTTACCATTAATGGTTAGCTACTTATATTGTTCCATTTGTTAACATTAAATAACATTACTTCAAACAACCATATTAATTTTTTTACATTAATTTTACTACAGCAACAATCAGGGTCTTATTTTCTTCACTCTTATATGTTGAACCAATCAGTCACTGGTTTTGTAAACATCAACTAAAACAATGCCGGCAGCCGTCTCGTCTCCTCGTGTGTTTTAATAATCCACGAATTATTAATGAATTGTATTGTTAATTTTGCACACAAACATTAATTCAATAAAAACAAATTCAGAAACATTAATTAAAATATATATGAACAGTAAATAAGTGTTGCTTTCATATTCTTATGCAGAGTAATGATGATATGTTTTTCACATGTGCGCACTTACATACTCGCAGTATCACTTTTTTATTTACCATTAATGGTTTGCTACTTTTATTGTTCTATTTATTAACATTAAATAACATTACTTAAAACAACCATATTAATTTTTTGCATTAATTTTACCACAGCTACAACCAGGGTCTTATTTTCTTGTTTTATATGTAGAACCACTCAGTCACTGGTTTGGTTATCAACTAAAACAATGCTGTCTCATTTCCTCACGTGTTTTAATATTCTACGTATTATTAATGAATTGTATTGCTCATTTTGCACACAAACATTAATTCAATAAAAAAGACATTCAGTAATAAACAATAATGAATCTTTTATACATAAGAGAAATGACGCTGCTTACACGATTGTGGACGTCTGAACGTTGGCGAGCCGTTCAAACCCGTCGAAATTCTAGTTTCCGCCGTCCAAATTTTAAATTATGTAGTGTTTTTTTGTGTCCAAATAAAAAACAGTGAATTAAAAACTCGCGAAATTTGAGAAGCTACTGTATGACATTTAACCCTTCAATATGTCTTCAAAGAGACCACGAACAGAGAAAGTGGTGCTCGCGTGTAAGCACAAGTCACCATTTATCCAGGAAAAGGGTGAATTTCCATGGTCCAGCACCGGTCAGGTCCCGGACTAGAGAGGTACAACCTGTACTGTATTGTACCCCCTTGTTGAGTAAGGCACCAATTCTGTTTATGACATTAAAATAATAATAATAAATTTGTATTAACTTGGTAATCATTTTGTTTTACTAACACATTATAAGAGAGGGAGACTGAAATAAAGGCAAGCATTTTAAGAAACCTGTTCAAAAAATTAAAAAGCAATTCAATGTTCGCTAACAAACAACACAAGAAAAACTATGAGCAGAACGAAACCAACGCCAACCGTTCACTTCTGTCACTACCTGAATACTGATTTGACCTGCAGGGACTTGTCCACTCACATGATCCCCCAGCCAACACTTGTATAAAAAACTAATCACTCCCAGCATCATGTACTGCCATGTGCCACCTTGGACACATACAGTAGGTTCCCCAGCCCTGCTCTAGGACCAATCTCCTGCACCACATGCAGTGCCAACCATCTCATTAGTAAAGTAAGTTTATGATTTTGTCATGCTAACAATATATCATAATTATTGAAAAATATTATTTGTTTACTCTCTCTCTGTATTTAGTGGCAATGGGTGAATATTAGGCTGGTAGATCGTGTCAGGGTAACCGTGGAAAAAGTAGATCACATCACACAAAAGGCTGGCCGACCCTGCACAAGAGGGACTGGCAGCTCAAAATTGTGAGGAAACAGTGTAATTTTATTTATCCATGATGCTGCAAAGGAATAATTAGAGCTAATACTACAATGTGGTGAAATTTGGGCAATACTGCAACACCATAATAAACTATTAACATTTACTTCTGTACAAGACTGGGCTTCAACAGCTTATGGTACTAAATCAACTAGGAATGGTTAATAAAAATAATAATAATAATACAAGTAATGTAAGTGAGACAATCATCACTACATGGACATGAGTTGTACTGCCGTCTGTGTGATTTCGAAGAAAATTTTACCGTCTTCGGTCGAGTTCTTTCTTACTCCAAAGAAGTAATACTCTCTCTCTCTCTCTGCTTGTCTATACAGAGTACATTTAACCCTTCAATATATATGAGCAGTAAATAAGTGTTGCTTTCATATTCTTGTGTAGAGTAATGACGATATGTTTTCACATGTGCGCACTTACATACGCGCAGTCTCACCTTTTTTCCGTTACCATTAATGGTTAGCTACTTATATTGTTCCATTTGTTAACATTAAATAACATTACTTCAAACAACCATATTAATTTTTTTACATTAATTTTACTACAGCAACAATCAGGGTCTTATTTTCTTCACTCTTATATGTTGAACCAATCAGTCACTGGTTTTGTAAGCATCAACTAAAACAATGCCCGCAGCCGTCTCGTCTCCTCGTGTGTTTTAATAATCCACGAATTATTAATGAATTGTATTGTTAATTTTGCACACAAACATTAATTCAATAAAAACAAATTCAGAAACATTAATTAAAATATATATGAACAGTAAATAAGTGTTGCTTTCATATTCTTATGCAGAGTAATGATGATATGTTTTTCACATGCCCATTCACTGGCTGGACTGTGGAGAAACTGATAGGGCATGCCTAAAATGGTGAAGAACTGGCTTTAGTCAGGTCCACCAGGGCAGTGCCACTTTCTGGGACAGGGAAGATATGGCTTTCCATAGCCCCCATTATTGAGCCCCACTCTCTTAGTAACTTCAGTGCCTTCATGGCAAAGAAGGGCCTTCCTCATCTCCTCTTTTGTCTTTTCTTGTACTTGGGATGAGAACAAAGCCAGTGGGGCCAACTCCTCAGTTAGGTACCAAGCGTGTCTACAGAGTGCCACACGTGCTCTGTCAACTATTGTGGCGTCATATGGGGCAAATTCAGCCAAGGTTTCGACCAAATTCCTCAAACACTTCAGGCATTGGCTGGTAGTAGTATTTCTTCTCTTCATTGTACGCCAGTTGAGAGAAATGGGTCTTGAACCTAGAAATGCAATTATTGTATTTCTTACTAATCTATAATATTGTTTTAGGGGTATTAAGATTGATATGATCGATCATTTGCTTGGTGCAGCGGTCACACCCTAATAACTATGAACGTGTTATATATTTATATGCCTTGTATATACTTGTTTTGTAACCTATAATATATTTATACACCTATATTGCATATTTTTGTAATTTATAATATATTTCTATGCCCTGTATGATGTGTTTTGTGATATATATTAAATAAAATTTTTGTACCTGAACAAATGTAAATATTTATATAATGTGTTTCTTTGGTCCATTAATGTGTCTCACTATGAAACTGTTATCTTAGAGGTTGAGACAGACTCCCTCTATTATGAGTCAAGTCTTGTTACTGATGGGTGAGGAGAAAGACGTAGAGATAAAGAGAATTATAAAGATAGAGAGAGGAAGACAAAGTAAAAGAGAAAGGTGGAGAGAGATAAAGAAAAAAACCTCTGGAAACGTAACTTACCCCTGAGGCTTGTTTTGTCAGTATATGGCATAAGACAAGAGATGAGGAACAAAAGGAATATGAAACAAGAATGAAGCTTAATAAATAGAGATGGAAAGGAAGGAACAAATATATAAATTAAAGAAATTTGAGGAAATCTATAGTATGATAAGTTATTTAAGTATAACAATAATGCCAAGATGTACGATATGCTTGTATCTTATTTGTAGTGAATGTTTAAAATAATACCACGAACATATCAAAATATATTCAAATAAAAATAAACCAATTAAGTTAGATATAATCAATATTAGTATATAAATAATTAAATAAAACTTATATTAGATTTATTATATTGTGACAGTTAATGTATATTGTGGGAAAAATATAAATCATTTAATGTGATAGTCGCTTCTGACAACATTGTGTTACTGACCTCAGCGTCACAACAAAGCTTCTGCCGACAGTATAAGACTGAGACGCCTCATAAAGATTACTGTGAGTATAATTATTCCTCAATGAAGGAATAACAACCTTAAATATACATAAACCTTAAACCTTATACTCTGGAAGAACCTGTGACTCCGGTTCAATAGCCTCTTCTCTCCTCCGGTGGCTGATATTTGTGGTCTATAATTATATACTTGTTCTTGATTATTCCAATATTTATCTAATTTGTCTTCAAACTTCTCCACATGAGATATGGTCACCAAATATTGATTAGCATACTCAAGGTGTGGTCTAACCAGAGCACTGTACAGCATACTCAAGGTGTGGTCTAACCAGAGCACTGTACAGCATACTCAAGGTGTGGTCTAACCAGAGCACTGTACAGCATACTCAAGGTGTGGTCTAACCAGAGCACTGTACAGATATAGGTGCCCACTATTTTGGATTTACTGTCTCCGTTATTATACATTACCGCCGGTAATGTAATAGATGTTATAATTAGACGTCTTATTAGAATATGATAATAGGTTAGTGGTCGGAATGTGAGGTGTTTTTTGCCATGATTTTATTTCGGAAAACATCCAACGAAAAAAATCGCTAAAAAAAATAACAACTAATATCCACCGGAAATGAAGGTCATATTCGGTCTACACAAATACACGAGAAAAATATATTTTGACATCCTAACAGAGAACGGTGTGACAATGCAAATTTACCATTAAACCTACCCTAACCTAACCAAATATGCCCTAACCCAGGGTTGTCAAACTTATTTGCCAAGGCGGGCCAGATTTAATATGAGTACACAGTATGTGGGCCAAGTAACATAATTATGAGCACTTCGCCATCACCTCTGAGGTGAGTAGTACGACAAAATAAGAAAGGTGGATTTAGTCTGCCCTCGTGGGAAACCTTTAAAACCAAACAAATCAAGTGTTTACTGACCTTGATCAATCTTATTGTTTGCTACTGTTGCTTCCTGATAATTGGCCTCTTGGTGTGGACCAGTGCATCAAAGACTGAGCTGTAGCAACCTTCAGTGTTCAGGTGCGCACCAGTGAGTTGAGACCAAAGCCGACACTTGTTCTGGTTCATCACAGAAAAGTGTTGTTCACAGATGTATCTACTTCCCAACATTGACATAATCTTTGAGGCAAAACATTTAATCCTGGGATAATTTGGTCCAAAATATTGATAAAATGTGCCAACATCAACACTCAAAAACTTGTTCCTCAACACACCATCACACTGGAGCTCAAGTAATTCTAACTGAAGATGTTCTGGTACCTCATTAACACCAACAGAGAATGGGTCCCCGAAAAATGAAAAAAATCCTTCTCAAGTCTTTTAAAGTCAGCAAATCTTTCTTGGAACTCATTCATTAATTTGGAAACCTTGATGCAGTATTTTTTTGTGTTGATATCAGCATGAAACTCAGGTGTGCCTTGCAGGGCCTTCAAGGTGAGAAAGATTACTCTCTGATGGTTGCCGTTCAAAAAGCTGAAGTTTCATCTCAAAGGCACGAATGCAGTCATAAAACTCCGTCACCAATTTATTGCATCATTGTATTCAAGTAATTTAATTGTTCTGTAATATCCACCACCAAAATTAGATCTTGAACCCATTCATTATCTTTCAGTTCATGCACATCCTTTCCTTTCTGTTCCATAAACATCTGTATTTCACTGGGCAATTCATTAAATCGCTTCAGTACGACTCCCCGACTTAACCGGCGAACATCAGTGTGATGTGGCAGTCCGTGTGTGTTCTCATTTTCCTCCAATAAGCATTTGAGCTGTGTGTGGTTCACTGTCTTTATAACAACATCCATTACATTATCCATCTTTAATGTTTTACTACACAACACTTCTTTATGTATAATACAATGTACATTATAAATTTGATAGTTCGGGTTCACAGCGATTAGTTTTTCCTTTAATTCTGTTGCCACGCCAGCTTCTCTGCCCACCATCAGCGGTGCTCCATCTGTAGCCAGACTCACAGTTTGTGCCCAGTCAACATCTAATTTATCCAGTGCCCTACCAAACCCACAAAGATGTCATCACCTGCTGTTCCTTTCATTGGTACCAGTTTCACAAATTCTTCTGTTACCTGCATATTTTCATCCACACCACATATAAAAACTGCAAGTTGTGCTACATCGGTACTTTCATCAATTGCAACTGAAAATGCAGTAAATGACTTAACTTTGTCTTTGAGTTGACTGTTAATATTCTCTGATAATTCACCAATTCTTTCTGTAACTAGTCTTATTGTTCTTTCATTGGTGATGTTGATTGAGTATTTTGTTCCAGGAAACAGCAGACTTATTCAACTGAGGGATACACTCACTATTTAGTTTTAGCTCCTCAAGGTAAGGCTGCAGCAGCAACTGGGCCGCGGGCAAGAGTGTGTCTGGCCGCATGGTTGACCTAACCTAATGTAATTAAACTTAACCTAAACTTTTTGTTACCTGCAGGAGACCAAAATAATTGCTTGAAAAAAAAACAGTGTTTGAACAAGGATTAATTTGTGATGGTTGTTTAGAGAAGAAAAGTTGATTATAATTACATAAGATACAGTACAGTACAGTATTGTCAACCACTGATTTGTTGAAGGTGCTGGAGTACCCAAGCAAATAGTACCCATGTCAACCTGTACCCATGTCAACCTGTACCCATGTCAACCTGTACCCATGTCAACCTGTACCCATGTCAACCTGTACCCATGTCAACCTGTACCCATGTCAACCTGTACCCATGTCAACCTGTACCCATCTTACGAGACGTACCCACACGAAAGCTAAGGTGCTCCGTTGTTTCCCTTTTCCCGTGTGATTTTATCAAGATTTATCTTATCAACGTTTTCATTGTGGATTAATTTCTCACTTGACTTGGGGTTTATTAAAATTTAATAGATGGTAAAGGCAGTGGAAGCGCCCCTTTGAGAAAAATCCCGAACCAGCACAAGAACACTTAAATCTACTACACAAAATGAACTGTCCGTGACCCGTGGAAGGATAGCGTCTGTGACTGGGATGAATGAGACACACTGTAAAATTTAGACACTTATATTCCCTCCAACACTACAAACACAATCAAATAATGGTACACCAATATGCGCACCTCTTAACTTAAACTTTAAACACTACTCTGGGGAATAAAAGTTATACATGACATAGAAATTATTAGAAACACAGGCAACAATAAATTTGAAGTATTAAGAAATGTTGCTTGCTCACATGAACAGGCCTTAAGGCTTTCCCAAAATAATATCAGTCACTTAGGAAATGGTACTAAAAAATAAGAAATTAAATACTCCACAATGAATAGGCCTTAAGGGCTTTCAGCAAGATAATATCAGTCACTGAGGAAATGGTAATAAAATTTAAGAAATTAAATACTCTACAATGAATAGGCCTTAAGGGCACTCAACAAAATTATAGCACCTCAACAGATGTACACTTCCTAACCTAACCTAACCACTACTCTGGGGAACAAGGTTATACCTGAGATCAGAATTATGAAGAACAATTAGAGGCATTAAAAGAATCAAATCACAGTATCACTCTGGTTCCACTTAATGGCACAAACATTCAAAAAAACACTACTATCAAAATTATTTAAGAAATATTAAACTACACACGTCAAGATAATATCAGTCTGAGGAATGGTGTTAACTACACCCGTAATAAGGAAGATAAAATGTTCCTCTAGGTATCTCCTAGAGTCCTAGACTCACGGTCTCAGTGTGTGACCATTAATATACTCAGATAGCCTCAGTGTACTCCCAGTGCGTCCATGGGCAGGAAGAGAGTGAGCCAATCAGACCTTGCGCAGTTGAGAGAAACTTTAGCTTCCCGTTAGCAAGAGGGTTTCACTAGCTGCTCGGGACATGTGGGGTTGTGCACCGGAGTGGTAAGAACTGATCACCCACTGCTGATGCTGGTCCCGTGTCGTGTTAGTTGTCGGGAGCACTCGTTCACTCAAGAGATCCTTTGCTACCCCGCTAAACAGTGACAGGCCTACACTGATCGGTCCAATGGCGACAATCGCCACCCTCAATCATCAACGGCAGTCTCAAACGGCAGTCAATCTCTCGCAGTCAACTCCGGTCAACTCCAATCAAGTGGGTTCTGACGGAAACCTTGTTATACTGCAATAGCGCAGCACAGGTGACTAGGCCACGTGACTATTTCTGATGGACGCGCGGAACGTCTTGTCTGTGTGAATGCTCTCCGGGACTGGGCCTAGCCAGCGTCGCGTCTCCCCAAGGCGCTAGCTTGGGCCTACGTGATATATTTTCCGCCTAACTAATAACTCCTTGGGACACCCGTAACATTATTCAGACTGCTAAACGATCTATAATAATTTCAAATTCAATAATAGTCCCTTAACTTCATGAATCGCATCATTATTAATTCGGTAAATTACATTTAATATCATATAGGCCTAGTTCCGCAGTCTCTCGCTACGAGCAGGCAGCGCTCCCTCCCCTCAGATGACCTTGAACGCTCAGTATCACTCATGGCGGGGCATTTGAAATTACTCTGAAATTTCTGAATATTACATATATATATATATATATATATATATATATATATATATATATATATATATATATATATATATATATATATATATATATATATATATATATATATATATATATATATACACAGTATAGTCTTCATTTACGCGGTCAATTGAACCTGTGGAGGTCCGCGTAAAACGAGAAACGCGTAAACGAAATAACAGAACATATGGGATTAATTGAAATAAGGACCGGGCCGACCCCCAAACTACACTTTTTCCGACACAATACCGACGTTGTGGTAAAAATAACATCTTAATTTTAGGATGGTACACACACACAATTAATATTTAAGAGAAATATCAATAATATTAGGTTTTTTAACACTTACGTTAGTAGAAGAGATGGCTGGGCACACGGGGATGGGGGGTTGGTTCCGAGGCAGAGGGCAGATTATTGGCCCTCACCTGTATCACTTGCATCAATTGTATCACTATCCACCACAGAGGCTTGCAGGGCCTCTTTGTCAAACCCCTCAAAGTCCATATCCTCACTATCACTGACTTGGGCTGGCTGTGGTGGGTGGCGGGTGAAGAACTCGGTAATGTTTTGTGACTGGGCGACCTTGTGCGCACCCTGCCCGCGCCGCTTCCCTCGTAAATGATGGAATGAACCGTGTAAATAAAAATTGTCGGTCTGGCAAGGTGCCGCGTAAATGACCAAACGCGTAAACCAAATCCGCGTAAATCGAGACTATACTGCATACAAGTGTGTGTGTATATATATATATATTTCAGCTGACTACATTAAAGGTAAGTGCACAGTCACACTGTATCCATTCTTCAGTGTTGATTACTTTTACTGTACTGTATTTAATTTTAGATATTATATGTAATATTTTTTGCATTTTCGATTTACCTCCTGGATTTGGGTCCCTAACCCCGTCGTAAGTCGAGGTAGTTTATGATGTGTTTTGAACAATTGTGACCTACAGTACAGTACTTCCAAATAGTTGGATTAATAAAACAATAATTTTATCCCATAACTTATTAAGAAACCTAACCTAACCAATAACGGGTGGCTAATAATTATGATATTATTTACATGTCTAATTTTTTGCAGGTGATATTGCGATATTGCTAGCATGGAGCCCAACACTGAAGCGATCATGGTAGAAAACCTCTCATTGGAGGCAATAAAGGACCACCTGCCTCCTAACAGAGATCATCAGGATTTAAATAAAGGCAAGAAACCAAGAGATACTGCCGTGTTCATTGTAAGTCTTACGTCACTGTTGGTATTTCACTGTTGTTTCAAAAACTGTTAGTGTTCATTATATGGAGGTTTAGCAAACCCTCGATATAACACCCATGACTATTACACTGTGTACCTAGCCAACAAACAGTGTACTTCAGTGTTCCACCCATGACTATTACACTGTGACTGGTACCCTACCCTCATGGTCTCACGAGACTATGTAATGTTCACTTAACCAACTTTTACCTAGACAGTTATGGTATATTGACTATATAGTGACCCCTCGTTTAACGAACGCCTCGGTTAACGAAATTTTGGTTAACGAACTGCCTTCCATAAGGATCTTCAATTTGGTTAACGAACAAAAATTCGGTGAACGAATTTCTTATGAACCGACCTCAACATGTTTTCGCTTGCACTGGCCAGGCAACCAGCTTTAGTATCAGTCCGCCAATACATTAATCGGTTCTAGGGCTTAAATTCCGTACTATTTTAGTAAATATCAGGAAGTTTATACTATTCAATAATTTTAAAAGTTTAATATTCAATTTTTTAGTCATTTTAACAATTAATGAACATAATTGAAGGTAAAGAAACTAGTTTCTGGCGTGCCATCCAGCCTGTTAACACACCAGACAGGCGTTAGTCTCTCTCTGTTTTCAGTGGAGGTAACATCTTGCTTGAGACTCTCTTCAACTAAACACTTTTTTCTGTGTTTCCAAGCAAATTATTAGTCATTTTGAAATTTATTTTACATATTGACAATATATAATGCAGTGCAGTGTTGATTTAAAGAAAATAATCTTGAATTACACCAAGAGAACTAAAATTTTATGGGTGAAATGGCGCCATGGGGTGACTTCTCTTCCACCCCAATGCCTTCTCTTCCACCCCCATTCTAAATCCCATCATCATCATCATCATCATCATCATCATCATCATCATCATCATCATCATCATCATCCAGGAGCCTTCTACCTACACACCTCAAAGTAAGTGTACTTTTCTACCATTTTTGTTGAATTTAGGAAATTTTCGGTGAGCTGGAACCAATTACCCTAAAACCCATTGAAACAATGTTTTCGGTTAACGAACGACCTTCTGGAACGGATTGAGTTCGTTAACCGAGGGGTCACTGTATCATATAATATATATTGAGCTGCTATATTCACTACTATACCTATATGTTATTCTCCTCTAGGGAAAACTAAATGCGGTTGGAAAACTTAGGGTGCAAGATGGTACAGAGGAACTTAAACTGCTGTTCAGAGAAGGTAAGTTCGTACATAATCTCAACCCTTAGTTATTCTTCTGACATAACTTAAACCCAACATGACACAATCTAACATAACAAATACTAACACAACACACCACAACACACCCCAACACAACACACCCCAACACAACACACCCCAACACAACACTCCCTAATGCTAACTAAACACAACACTAACACTTTATGTATTTCTTCATATACACATTGTGGTAAGATAAGTTTGTTTGTTTGTTTCAGTCAAGCCAACTGGTGAAATGGGCAGTAGTGTCCATATGATGTGTTATGATGATGCAGCAGTTGGTGTTTATGAACATCTGAAGCCAATTAGAGGAGACAGTTGGATCATGGTATGGGATGTTCGAGAGAGACAATATCAAGGTTGGGATCCCGATATTTCCCACTCCCTATACATGGGGATTGAGGGTAAGGTGAGGATTTTTTATGTCCCCTCCCCCATCAGTACACTGCCAATTAGAAATATTATTACTATTTGGCAGTGTAATTATGCTGTAAACAAAAGAATCCTTTTCGGGGTCATAAGTGAGGTGATTAAACACCCCGAGATCACTACAAACGGCGTATACCATACAATGTTTGGCGTAGTGGATCCTACGTGCCTGCACCCCGGCGCCTCAAAAAAGGATCTCCTCTTACATGTATTTATGAACGAACGAGGCACAAAGAAGCTCCGAGGGACTGTCGAGAGAGGACAGATTATCAGGACTTCTAATATGATGGTACGTTGATGACCCTGTGTGTGTACTGTACATTGTGAACAACAGCTCTCTAACTTGTGTACAATTATCTAAACTAACTGAGGTTAGGTTAGCATTAAGGGGTTTAATCATCAACTGGGGTGTACAGTAACCTTCACTCCCCAGGCAGTCTTAGTGTTTAATCATCAGCTGAAATAAACTGGGGTGCCTAATGTTCACCTGAGCCTATCTTGTTGTTGTTCAGTGAAGGAAAATTATTTATTTATTTATTTATTTCAGGTGGAGCACTACAATAATAAGTATGTGGCCAAGGTTTTCTCGGCCAAATCAGTGGTAAGATTTAGTTCAGCATGCAGTGAAGAGTTTGAACTCATTACTGACTATGAAAATTACAGAGTCATTGGTAAGTTTACGCCAGACAGCTCGTTGAAATGTGGATGAACCGATGTAGTTAAACCTGATGATGTGGATGAGTGTTTCTGAATCTGTGTCAGCTAATATGCTGATTCCTGACCCTTCAACTACTTCTGTGTACTGTCCCACACTACTGTACTGTCCCCACACTACTGTGTCACTGCCCCACACTATACTGTGTCACCGTCCCCACACTGTACTGTATCACTGCCCCCACACTGTACTGTGTCACTGCCTCACACTACTGTGTCACTGCCCCCACACACTACTGTGTCACTGTCTCCCCCACACTGTACTGTGTCACTGCCCCACACTACTACTGTCCCCACACTACTGTGTCACTGCCCACACTGTACTGTGTCACCGCCCCACTGTACTATATCACTGCCCCCACACCGTGGCCTGTGCCACTGACCCCACACTGTACTGTGTCACTGACCCCACACTGTACTGTGTCACTGACCCCACACTGTACTGTGTCACTGACCCCACACTGTACTAAAGTCACTGACCCCACACTATACTGTGTCACTGGACCCCACACTGCTCTGTCACCGACCCCACACTACTGTACTGTATCACTTACCCCACACTGTACTGTGTCACTGACCCCACACTGTACTGTGTCACTGACCCCACACTGCACTGTGTCACTGCCCCACACTACTGTGTCACTGACCACACTACTGTGTCACTGACCACACTGTACTGTGTCACTGACCCCACACTGTACTGTGTCACTGACCCCACACTGTACTGTGTCACTGACTCCCACACTACTGTGTCACTGGACCCCAAGCACACTACCGTGTGTCACTGCCCCACACCTCGTACTGTGTCACTGCCCCACACTGTACTGTGGCACTGGACCCCACACTGTACTGTGTCACTGACCACACTGTACCGTGTGTCACTGCCCCTGACACTACTGTGCGTCACTGACCCCACACACTACTGTACTGTGTCACTGACCCCACACTGTACTGTGTCACTGACCCCACACTGTACTGTGTCACTGACCCCACACTACTGTGTCACTGACCCCACACTGTACTGTGTCACTGGACCCCACACTGTAACACTGTGTCACTGACCCCACACTGTACTGTGTCACTGACCCCACACTACTGTACTGTATCACTGACCCCACACTGTACTGTGTCACTGACCCCACACTGTACTGTGTCACTGACCCCACACTACTGTACTGTATCACTGCCCCCCACACTGTACTGTGTCACTGACCCCACACTGTACTGTGTCACTGCCCCACACTACTGTACTCAAGTTCCCCACACTGTACTGTGTCACTGCCCCCACACTTCGTGTCACTGCCCCACACTACTGTGTCACTGCCCCCACACTGTACTGTATCACTGCCCCCACACTGTACCGTATCACTGCCCCCACACTGTACTGCATCACTGCCCCCACACTGTCTGTGTCACTGTCCCACACTGTGCTGTGTCACACTACTGTACTGTCCTACCACACTTACTGTGTCACTGCCCCACACTGCTGTGTCACTGCCCCCACTGTCACTGTGTCACTGTACACTGTACTGTATCACTGCCCCACACTGTACTGTGTCACTGCCCCACACTATTGTACTGTCCCCACACTGTACTGTGTCACTGCCCCACACGACTGTACTGTCCCCACACTGTACTGTGTCACTGCCCCACACTGTACTGTGTCACTGCCCCACACTACTGTGTCACTGCCCCACACTATTGTACTGTCCCCACACTGTACTGTGTCACTGCCCTAAAGTTGATATTACTGGAGGAAACAGCACAATAATATTTGTCATTGTCGTGTTTTCCACAGATGTGGAGAAGGCGGAAATAACCCGCCTGAGAGAGTGGTGGGCCTCTCACCACCATGAACTTCCACCAAAAGCACAACAGACGGACCCCTCTCAACAGGTTGCCCAACCACCAAGGTGCTTGTCTTTCAATAGTTGAACAAGTTATTTCTTTGTAATAATAATATAGTCACTCCACATACTGTAATGTTATATATTGTCTTGCCAGTTGTCGTATGGCTGTTGTGATTGGCAGGTCATTATTATCAATAATTTTCCATAAGGATTGATCACTCAAGTGTGGTTGTGTTGTTTTGCAGGGTGCAGGACACTGTCAGGGTGGAGGACAGTGCCAGGGTGAAGGACACTAATCAGCCCATCAAAAGAACCTATCCATCGCCCAGGGGGTCAAGTACACCCGCGAAACGTAAGTGTTGAATTTTTCACGTTTTATTTTTTGTTTTCGTCGTTAATCGGTCTTATTTTTCTCGCGTGTGTTGGCATACGGCAGTCGATTATCGGAAAGTACACTCACAGCCTCAGCCTAACCTAACCCCTTGATGAGTGCGGTCTGGTAAATGTGGAAGAAACGTTTTAGAATAATTTATCTTCCGGGACGTACGACCGACTCTGCCTCCATCCAACACCGTGCGGCAGACGCGTACACGATCTTTTATTTAACAATATTGACAATGTTCAAATAGCCTTACACAAACTGTCAAACTCAGACCCAAGTAGAGTACAATTATACAAGACTATCAATGCAACTGTTGATACAATGTGTAATACAAAGATAAAGATGAACGAGTGGACACCAGTGAGAGTGGGTGGCCAGGAACATATGAGGCAGGGGCCATGGAGGAGGAACAGGGGCCATGGAGGAAGAACAGGGGCCATGGAGGAGGAACAGAGGCCATGGAGGAGGAACAGGGGCCATGGAGGAAGAACAGGGGCCATGGAGGAGGAACAGAGGCCATGGAGGAGGAACAGGGGCCATGGAGGAGGAACAGGGGCCATGTGGTGTTATTCAGTTGGTGAAGAGTGCCCATAACTTATTAACTTGAAGATTAATGGTGGCTCTTATGACACAATTGTTAACTCAACACATGTTATTGCTGGGTTCAAACAGCTGCCTTTAACCCAACAGTTCAGGAGTGAAGGTTAACAATTATACTCTGTATAAAAGATTTAAAAAATGACAACCATAATAAGTGTGTAGGTTCCATAACAACTAATATATAAACAATAAACTATTTTGTAATAGTAATTTACACCCATAAATAATAGAGCAGCACTGAATGGTTAATACTTAACTAAACCCAATTTGAAAAGGTATCCACCACTGACAAACTGAGACATCCTTCCACCTCCAAGGCCAGCCAGTGACTGACTTGGCTCCAATATTAATAAACTCCCACATTATGCTACAAAAATGCCTTCATACATACAGAAAAATATTTGATGTATCAAATACCAGCATATATGTCACCTCCTCCATCTGGCCTGGGGAGCCTCTCTGAGGCAGAGGGAGCAATGTCGGCCAATAACGAGTTATGTAAGTCACTGTATTGTTCTGTACTGCCTTCTCTCTCCCTCCTATATCCTTCTCTCCCTCCTATATCCTTCTCTCCCTCCTCCTTTATCCTTCTCACCCTTCTATATCCTTCTTCCTTTTCTGCTCTTCTTGGTCACACTGCCTAAACATTATTATTACAAGTTAAAACAATTGTCACTCAACATTTTCAGTGTCCCGGCCATCGACGAGTGGGGAGGTGGGGAACCAGCGTTAAACAGGACCCCAGAGAATATTTCACACGTGAGAGGAAGTATTTGTTGTGGCATCTATGTGTTTGTTTACGTGGCATTAAAACTCCCAGAATGACCCCTAAGGAACCTTGCAATACCAGCCACACTTGATTTACTCTTTGTATTGATGTTACATAATGTTTTTCATGTGTTACAGGGGACTAGAGTGACGTAACAATAGAACAATTTTTGGACAACAGTAAAGTGGGGGAGCTATCTAAAATAGCTGTAAGGATAAACAGCTTCAATATACTCAAGACACCACATACAGGTATTGTTATCAGTAATAGTAAGTGTTGTATACATCTAAAATACCTTAATGTAAGACAAATACAATGATAAAATACAATAAATCAGGTAAATAAATACAGCAAGCTCTTAAAATTTGTGAGGGTTTGGATCTCAAAATGGCCATGAATAACATTTGCCCTTAGGACAATTATTTTTTTTACCTGTATTGTGTGTAGACACATATACACTACAGGTAAAAGAAATTACTGTGTATAAAATAAATGGCTCCCTGTCCCGGCTGATAACAAGTGTCCACAGACATTGTTGGGTACATCCAGGGTGTCATCTGTGCATAATGGAGTTGTCAGGGCAAGTTGTAACCTCGTTGATAAGTGAGGAGCATATATAAACTGACTGTGTGAGGACTTTACTGTGGTGTATGGTTGAGAGTTAACAAAGAGCTGCTGTGTTATCTACCTTGCAGGACCAACACACTGTAGTTTGTTTATCTCGCAGTACTCAACTGCCTTTCGTCCCTCGGTGTACCCCCATCAACAAAAACGTGTTTTGCGTTGACAGATGAACCAGCTACGAGGGACTGCAGGTCCTTAGAGGGTCGGCACAAGTGGAGTACAGTCATACCACAAGACGCTAATCTGGGTGGAGAGGAATTGAGACGATTCTTTGGTAAGTATGAAAACTTTTATTCTTGATGTCATCTGTTGCTCTTAAGAGTTCTTTATTATGGTTGGAGGTAGAGGTATTGGTGCACACACACACACACATGTAACTTCCTCTGAAGACTCACATTTAATTAGGGAATTACCAGATATTGTTAAAAAACTGTGTCTTAGTTGACTTCTCTGAGATGGGTGGACGGATACAGGCAGTTATATGTACAGAGAGGCTGGCCACTTGATCTGGGACTGAGGACTGTGAGCTTGAGAGCAGTGTTAGAGATGGTGTTTAGATCTGTTAGGAGTGAAGTGGTCTCTCAGGCTACTGCTCAGTGGTAGATCAGCAATGTGTGGTGTCCAGCTAAAGACTGACTAGCTATACCAGGGCAGTGTAGAGTATACCCAAGACAATATACCATAACAACAGCATTATATTCTCTCAACAGCTCTGCCTGCAGCTTATTCAAGGGAGCAACATGGACTTGACCGCCAGCTGTCGAGCGTATTGAACTCACTGAAGGAATCTCAAGAGTATTACTTCTTTGGAGTAAGAAAGAACTCGACCGAAGACGGTAAAATTTTCTTCGAAATCACACAGACGGCAGTACAACTCATGTCCATGTAGTGATGATTGTCTCACTTACATTACTTGTATTATTATTATTATTTTTATTAACCATTCCTAGTTGATTTAGTACCATAAGCTGTTGAAGCCCAGTCTTGTACAGAAGTAAATGTTAATAGTTTATTATGGTGTTGCAGTATTGCCCAAATTTCACCACATTGTAGTATTAGCTCTAATTATTCCTTTGCAGCATCATGGATAAATAAAATTACACTGTTTCCTCACAATTTTGAGCTGCCAGTCCCTCTTGTGCAGGGTCGGCCAGCCTTTTGTGTGATGTGATCTACTTTTTCCACGGTTACCCTGACACGATCTACCAGCCTAATATTCACCCATTGCCACTAAATACAGAGAGAGAGTAAACAAATAATATTTTTCAATAATTATGATATATTGTTAGCATGACAAAATCATAAACTTACTTTACTAATGAGATGGTTGGCACTGCATGTGGTGCAGGAGATTGGTCCTAGAGCAGGGCTGGGGAACCTACTGTATGTGTCCAAGGTGGCACATGGCAGTACATGATGCTGGGAGTGATTAGTTTTTTATACAAGTGTTGGCTGGGGGATCATGTGAGTGGACAAGTCCCTGCAGGTCAAATCAGTATTCAGGTAGTGACAGAAGTGAACGGTTGGCGTTGGTTTCGTTCTGCTCATAGTTTTTCTTGTGTTGTTTGTTAGCGAACATTGAATTGCTTTTTAATTTTTTGAACAGGTTTCTTAAAATGCTTGCCTTTATTTCAGTCTCCCTCTCTTATAATGTGTTAGTAAAACAAAATGAATACCAAGTTAATACAAATTTATTATTATTATTTTAATGTCATAAACAGAATTGGTGCCTTACTCAACAAGGGGGTACAATACAGTACAGGTTGTACCTCTCTAGTCCGGGACCTGACCGGTGCCGGACCATGGAAATTCAACCTTTTCCTGGATAAATGGTGACTTGTGCTTACACGCGAGCACCACTTTCTCTGCTTCGTGGTCTCTTTGAAGACATATTGAAGGGTTAAATGTCATACAGTAGCTTCTCAAATTTCGCGAGTTTTTAATTCGACGTTTTTTATTTGGACACAAAAAAACACTACATAATTTAAAATTTGGACGGCGGAAACTAGAATTTCGACGGGTTTGAACGGCTCGCCAACGTTCAGACGTCCACAATCGTGTAAACAGCGTCATTTCTCTTATGTATAAAAGATTCATTATTGTTTATTACTGAATGTCTTTTTTATTGAATTAATGTTTGTGTGCAAAATGAGCAATACAATTCATTAATAATACGTAGAATATTAAAACACGTGAGGAAATGAGACAGCATTGTTTTAGTTGATAATCAAACCAGTGACTGAGTGGTTCTACATACCTGTATAAAACAAGAAAATATGACCCTGGTTGTAGCTGTAGGGTTTTGAGGGTTTCTTAGCATCCCGGGATTCTCTTGTCCTCACTGTACTGACTTTCACAACTCTCTCTCTCTCTCTCTCTCTCTCTCTGCTTGTCTGTACAGAGTACATTTAACCCTTCAATATATATGAGCGGTAAATAAGTGTTGCTTTCATATTCTTGTGTAGAGTAATGACGATATGTTTTTCACATGTGCGCACTTACATACGCGCAGTCTCACCTTTTTTCCGTTACCATTAATGGTTAGCTACTTATATTGTTCCATTTGTTAACATTAAATAACATTACTTCAAACAACCATATTAATTTTTTGCATTAATTTTACCACAGCTACAACCAGGGTCATATTTTCTTGTTTTATATGTAGAACCACTCAGTCACTGGTTTGGTTATCAACTAAAACAATGCTGTCTCATTTCCTCACGTGTTTTAATATTCTACGTATTATTAATGAATTGTATTGCTCATTTTGCACACAAACATTAATTCAATAAAAAAGACATTCAGTAATAAACAATAATGAATCTTTTATACATAAGAGAAATGACGCTGTTTACACGATTGTGGACGTCTGAACGTTGGCGAGCCGTTCAAACCCGTCGAAATTCTAGTTTCCGCCGTCCAAATTTTAAATTATGTCGTGTTTTTTTGTGTCCAAATAAAAAACGTCGAATTAAAAACTCGCGAAATTTGAGAAGCTACTGTATGACATTTAACCCTTCAATATGTCTTCAAAGAGACCACGAAGCAGAGAAAGTGGTGCTCGCGTGTAAGCACAAGTCACCATTTATCCAGGAAAAGGGTGAATTTCCATGGTCCGGCACCGGTCAGGTCCCGGACTAGAGAGGTACAACCTGTACTGTATTGTACCCCCTTGTTGAGTAAGGCACCAATTCTGTTTATGACATTAAAATAATAATAATAAATTTGTATTAACTTGGTATTCATTTTGTTTTACTAACACATTATAAGAGAGGGAGACTGAAATAAAGGCAAGCATTTTAAGAAACCTGTTCAAAAAATTAAAAGCAATTCAATGTTCGCTAACAAACAACACAAGAAAAACTATGAGCAGAACGAAACCAACGCCAACCGTTCACTTCTGTCACTACCTGAATACTGATTTGACCTGCAGGGACTTGTCCACTCACATGATCCCCCAGCCAACACTTGTATAAAAAACTAATCACTCCCAGCATCATGTACTGCCATGTGCCACCTTGGACACATACAGTAGGTTCCCCAGCCCTGCTCTAGGACCAATCTCCTGCACCACATGCAGTGCCAACCATCTCATTAGTAAAGTAAGTTTATGATTTTGTCATGCTAACAATATATCATAATTATTGAAAAATATTATTTGTTTACTCTCTCTCTGTATTTAGTGGCAATGGGTGAATATTAGGCTGGTAGATCGTGTCAGGGTAACCGTGGAAAAAGTAGATCACATCACACAAAAGGCTGGCCGACCCTGCACAAGAGGGACTGGCAGCTCAAAATTGTGAGGAAACAGTGTAATTTTATTTATCCATGATGCTGCAAAGGAATAATTAGAGCTAATACTACAATGTGGTGAAATTTGGGCAATACTGCAACACCATAATAAACTATTAACATTTACTTCTGTACAAGACTGGGCTTCAACAGCTTATGGTACTAAATCAACTAGGAATGGTTAATAAAAATAATAATAATAATACAAGTAATGTAAGTGAGACAATCATCACTACATGGACATGAGTTGTACTGCCGTCTGTGTGATTTCGAAGAAAATTTTACCGTCTTCGGTCGAGTTCTTTCTTACTCCAAAGAAGTAATACTCTCTCTCTCTCTCTCTGCTTGTCTATACAGAGTACATTTAACCCTTCAATATATATGAGCAGTAAATAAGTGTTGCTTTCATATTCTTGTGTAGAGTAATGACGATATGTTTTCACATGTGCGCACTTACATACGCGCAGTCTCACCTTTTTTCCGTTACCATTAATGGTTAGCTACTTATATTGTTCCATTTGTTAACATTAAATAACATTACTTCAAACAACCATATTAATTTTTTTACATTAATTTTACTACAGCTACAATCAGGGTCTTATTTTCTTCACTCTTATATGTTGAACCAATCAGTCACTGGTTTTGTAAACATCAACTAAAACAATGCCCGCAGCCGTCTCGTCTCCACGTGTGTTTTAATAATCCACGAATTATTAAAGAATTGTATTGTTAATTTTGCACACAAACATTAATTCAATAAAAACAAATTCAGAAACATTAATTAAAATATATATGAACAGTAAATAAGTGTTGCTTTCATATTCTTATGCAGAGT